GAGGCAGCCGGCAGGTAGGTAGGTAGGTAGGTAGCAAGGCAGGTAGGTAGGTAAGTAGGTCGGTCGGTCGGTCGGTCGGTCGGTCGGTCGGTCGGTAGGTAAGTAGGTAGGTAGGTAGGAAAGTAGGTAGGTAGGCAGGCAGGCAGGCAGGTAGGTAGGTAGGTAGGTTGGTCGGTGGGTGGGTAGGTAGGTAGGTGGGTAGGTAGGTAGGTAGGTAGGCAGGCAGGCAGGCAGGCAGGTAGGTAGGTAGGCAGGCAGGCAGGCAGATAGGTAGGTAGGTAGGCAGGCAGGCAGGTAGGTAGGTAGGTAGGTGCCATCTTCTTAGTCTGCTCTTCAGCTTCTCAGCTGCAGCTATAAGCTCTGCTTGCGTAGCTGCGCCGGGTGTCTGGGCCCAGCTAGGCTTTGGCTGTTCTTCCATGGCGGATCTACGGAAAGGCGCTCCCTAAACCCTAAACTCTGATCACTATTTTGTGCCATGTTGTACTGTTCAGCGGATCCACGATATGATTACGGCCCAAAGCACCTGCGCACACACACACACAAATAAATATAAAGCTTACACAGTATATATATATATGCATGTTCTATGTAGGTACACACTCACAAATTCTCTGCCTGAAGAGTGTCGCACGTGCTCTAAAACTATGTGACTGAGAAAAAGAGAAACATACGGAGAGTGAGCGAGAGCGAGAGCGAGGGCGAGAGCGAGAGCAAGAGAACAAGCGAGAGAGAGAGGGAGAGACACAAATTGAATGAGGCTGACAATCAAAACTGCACCAGGTTCTCGGCTGGAAACCATCTGGTCACCGCGCACGGCGGCATCTCGGAGAGATCTTTTTTGTCAGAACAACTTTCAACCTGCGTTTGCATAGGTTGTGGTGATGTTTTCACAAGCTGTGCTCTGCTATTCTAGTTCGCAACTTCGATACTGTGTCGCTACAGCTTGTGTTGGCCTTGCCTTGAGTCTCTGGCATCTGCCGTGCCAACAGCTGATGAAGGACCGTGTGCTGCTGCTCGGAGTGCATGACTTCTTAGGCGTATCGTCAAGATATTTCTCAAGACAATTGCACTTGGGCTACCCGAAGCGGGATGCGGAAAGCAGTTGGCATTCTTCTCTCCTGACTTTTTGAGCTGCGCGAAAATTGATCAAGGAGCAACAAGGCGATGATGTTCAGACCTTGTTCAATATTCGGCCGAGTCCACCCCTCAGGGCAGTCAGCGTTCCGGGTGGCCCGGAAGGCAACGCTTTGCCTGCCTGATCCGGCGGCCGCTCGTACTGGTGGATCCCACCACGCTCTAAATCCCGAATTCTGGAACTGAGATCCTCTCTCTCCTTGTCCTGCTCCAGAAGTCTCTTTTGAAGCTTCTGCTGGAGCTGCACTGCACGAAAGACTGCCTCGGCCACAGGCTCCATGTTGCCTGCATCGAGGCCACCCTTGTCGGCCAAGAGCTGTACTCCCAAAGCAGCATTCATGTCCCGGAGCCGCTCACTCTGCTGGCTCAGGACCTTTTGTGCCGCCTGCCACTGCGAGATTCTCCACGCTCCGATCCGGCACATGCCCGCCTGAAGGCCAGCGTGCCGCCCTTCCACGTCATCCAGGCCCTCGAGCTCCGGCGCCAGAGCATCCAAGCGAGCCTCGCGTACAAAGCTGGGAATTCGAATCTCGCTTAAAAACACCTGAAATCACCACCGGCCTGCATGTCGGCACACTCTTGGATCAGCTTTACCCGGTCCTGGTCAGCTGTTCGCCGCGCATTCTCCTGTGTCGAGGCTTGCGTACCGACGCAGATTGCACTTTTTCTCCTCAACAGCAGGAACCCATCAAGGCCGCGGCGAGGCCCCCAACACGGCGTATGAAGCCCTCGGACTGCGATGCGATGGCTTCACGCAGCGCGCTGCCTGGCAGGTGCTCGGCAGTCTCCGTCCATGCGACCCCCATTGAATCTGCGCCGCGCCTGCATCCTCGAAATCCACACGTGCGGACTGGAGCTCGGCTTTCTCCTGGCTCCGGTCTCCGGGCTGGGCAGCTAACTCTCAAGAATCGTCGCTCTCCTCGGAAACCTGTTTCAGCCGAGCACTCAGAGAGGCCTCAACACAGTGCAGGACGCGATGGCACAGTATCGCCTCTGGCAGATCCAGGCCTCCGTTTTCTCCAGCTGTTGCAGACGGAGAAACTGGGCAGTTTGGGACTGTCTGAGATGGGAGTAGAAACGCTCGGCGCTCAGAATCTTTCGAAGGTACAAGGAGGCTGAAGGGCGCGATGCCTCGGAGTTGGCCTCTTTCTGGACTTCTGCCAGCCAGTCGAGCTCCTCCTTTCGGGACTCGTCCGGTTCGAGGTTTTCCGCTTCCGTCGCCTCCGGACCTCGGAGGTGCGACGCCACAAAGCGATGAGACGTGGCGCGAGACCCGTCCCGCCTTCGTCCAGGCCTTCGATGGGCTCCAGGACCCGCGCGGCCCAGGAGTCGGCCAGGGCCTGGCGAAGCCGCGCAGCCTCGGCCTGGCGAGAAAGGACAGGACGAGTCTACATCTCTCTTGCTTGCTTGCTGGCTGGATCTCTCTCTCTCTCTCTCTCTGTGGCGAGGCTCCTCTTGAGTCAGCAGCTGCTCCTGGAGTCGCTCCGCCTCCTCCACCGCGCTGGTGAGGACCTCGTTCGGCAGAACAAAGAAGACAAGCAGCCACAAGAATTTCCACGCTAAAAACCGGTAGAGCTCTGCGTGCTTCATGTCCAAGGCAACTACGTCGCGGCTGACCATTGAGCGGGTTTGTTTCTCCCTCAGCACATCCAGCACTCGCGCAAAAGTAGTACGAGAGAAGTAGGTACTCGTGGCGTACAACCACGCATCTCTCGACTTGGAGATGGAACAGGGTCGTTCAAGCCCAGTCGGACACCGTCTCTTCATCGTCAGCATGTCAAGAGGCTACACACACTGCCGACATCAATGCCCACAAACCAGTGGCCACAACAAAACTGCTTTCTTATGGCAGCTGAAATCCCAAGGGGAGCGCAACGCAGCTTGTCTCTCCTCTGCACCTCAACTCGGCACATTGTCGCATAGTCCAAGAAACCGGCTGCACAGAACAGCCACACATTGCAGGACTTGCATTTTGCATCCTTCGTTTGATACATTAGCTGTTCGGCAAGGCACCACTCAGTGCCAACGCCAAATCTTGCCTCGCCTGACAGATTCGGGCTGGCTCAAGTGCACTGGCTCAAAGTGGAGGCTCTCCAAGACATGCGCCCGACGGAGCCTTCATGGCCTGGGACAATTCTCCGCAGCTCGCAGCCTGGAGAAACACTGCTGGGATCCGTCATCAAGCTGAGCTCGCACACGGATTGTTGGTCACCGGTCGTGCTATTTCGACTCTTGGTCTGCCAACGGCTCGTGAGCGACACGATCATGGACCTAGCCCTCTAATGGCTTCTGACTGTGAGACAGGAACAAGAAACCAACTATGCCCCCAGCCCTGTCCTACCCGATCAAGGCCTCCCGCGACTTGCTGGCATCCTGTTCCAAAGGTCAGTGAAGAGCTTTCCACTTCACGACTTAGCTTGAGATTCAGCCTGTTGGTGCTACAGGTGCATAGACGAGGAGCATTACCTTCTGGGCATCCCTCAAAACCAGAAGCTGCTTGCCTCTGCTCGTCGCTGCTCCTCAATGTCAGCAGCCTCGGCAAGCTTCAACTTGATCTCTTCATGCATTCAGCCGATCACTGCCGACGGACGAGAGTAGGGAGTAAATGATCCATGTAAAGAGCTCATGGAACAGGAGGCATAGCCACTGTGGTGTTGCTCAATATGCTCTTAGATAGGGACAACGTGCGGCCACCTTGCAGTCAGCCCTTACAAAGACTGATGAGAGTCTTGATGCAGGTACATTATCCATGCAGTCGTTCTCAACAGCCAACTGAAACTTGATATGAATGTACAGTGTGCCAGCTCTAGCCTTTTGACAGGGTTGTCGTGAACGAATGCATCCGAGTCTTTTCCCAACAGCTCTTTGTTGACGGATGTTGTGCAGCTTGTCGTTTTGCTACCTTTTGCATCTGTGTCCCTCGTCACAGTGCAGCCATGGGCCCACCAAAAAAACGACAGACCGGCGGCGGAGGATGATGGAAAAATTGTCAAGAATGATAGCATGCATCAATAAGCCACGGGGAGGTCAAACTTGACCCCACTGTTGCGCGTGATCCGTGGCAAACATCAAACATCAAGGATGCAAGGAATCTAAAGAAGAACGCGCCTAATATAGTTCAAGCCAGTTGCAGCCTTCATATGTTTACTTCCTCCGTCGCAAAACACTCGTTCTCGTCGCATCCTACTGCAAAGTGCCGGCCGGCTGCTGAGCTCCGCACAATGGCAGTCTTCTTTGCGGAGAGCTTCTCAATGCTTTGCTGCACTGCCTGCGAGAATACGCTCTAGAAGTGCGCTCGAGGCTCGAGTCGGGGCCCGGGGCCTCCATCTCCCGCTCGGTGGCATCACGTCGGCTGCGCAATGGACTCGAGGCTTCGGCCTGGAGCTTGGCTTCAAGCTCGAGCGCAAGGACTTCACAGACTTCGCACCTCGGCGACCCGGCGCTTGTTCTCCGCCAGGAGCTCCTCGCACCTCGCGTGCCGGAGCCCGGCCCATGGGGGCGGTTTGTCGAATGCCAAAACCCGTCGAAGAATCTTCGTATTTTCCAACCGCCAATCGCGGTCGGCATGTGCCCAGGTCTCGACAGCTTTGGCCATATCTGGCGGCGATGCTCTGACCACAGGACGCATCGCAACGCACCTCTGCGAGGGTTGCCGCATGAAGACCTCCGGGCTCCGCTGGTAAAGCCAATACCCTGGGCCTGGGGCCTTGCAATTCAAAAGTGTGCCGTGAAACGCACGCGCACAGCTCTACAAGGCCATTTTAAAACTTAACGCCTGGCCACACTCTTGGCATTGCCAAAGTGGCTGCGCCAGGTCTTTAAACATTAACACATAGAAATACAGACAGGGCCTTTTCTCGATCGCATCACTCAAGGGCACCAAGCGAAGGCGCTGTCTTCAGGCGCTTGAGCTGCGAGAAGCGCTGTTTCTTGGCCAGCATCACCTGCAGCTTTCTTTCATGCAAGTTCCACTATCAATGAGCAAGATTTGAAAAGCATGTTTCCAGCATTCTAGCAGTTCCGGCACCCCCTTTTTTTGCCCCAGGAGTGCTAGCGCAATCTTACAAAAGCGGGAGTGCTTCGACTCAACGAGGCGAGCACCTCTTGGTCCTCCACCAAACCACCCATGTCCAGAAAGTAGTCTGAGCACAAGGGAAGTGAGGTGAAAATCGTGATATATATATATATATATACGTTCGAGCCGGTTCGAGATATGTAGGTTGCTGGCTTTTCATCTTGTTCATCATGATCACGTCCGGAGTGTAGCTGGAACAGTCCTGCAGCTTCACATGTCTACCTTGAATGCTTCTACCATCCATTTTCCGCGCAATCTCCTCGATGGGCCGATAGAAAGACCTTCAAATCAGAACAGGGCATTCGCGACATCAGAAGACTTGGCACTGGGGATCCGGCTCCCACTGCTGTGAGCCCGGAATATCTGAGCCGCAACAAAGCAACCGGCGACGGGACTTTCAGTACAGCGCAGCGTCCCTAAAGTCTCCCCGCGGGAAGGGGTTGCCGGAGGGCCGGAGGTAGTCTTAGTTACTAATAGCCGCATGCTGACTCCCTATCTATGGCCCGCACGATGCACCACAGGCGCTCTACTGTCCTCATGGAGGAATCGGCGTTGAGCCACCTCCTTCCAGAGGGCAAAGGAGGACTCGTGGACAGTGGGGGGACTGGGTGGCTCTCGCCAAAGGCACTATTTCGCAACATCTGCTCGAGCATCAGGAACAGCAACCATAACGTGGGGTCGATGGCCCAAACTGTTATTGCTGGGATCTCTCGATACTTGCATCTGCCATCAAACATAAACCTTGTCATGGTTTGCCGGAAATAACCACAACTGACACGAGCGCCTCAGCGCAGACCTCGGCAGAGAGAGACTCCCGAAGGTTGTCATCCTGGAGCGGTTCACGACGAATTTAAGCTTGCACGCCACGCATCGCCACACCCTCTACAACCGTGCATCAGCTGCGAGCAAGACCTTGCGCACGCAGACAAGGCAGCTGTGAACCTCTCTCCTTGACCAGCTTCAAAGTCTCAAGCTTTTCGCTGATTACCTGACCAAGCCACAAGGGACTCGGACTCATCCCGGCAGCGTGAGGAAAGGGAGGCAGGTGGGCAAGCTGCCTCAGCCAGACGGGAGCCCTCCGTCTCGATTGGCTCCTCCGTCAAGTTGGCCTCCGGGTTCTCTGCTCGCACGGCCTTCTGCAAAAGCAGCACGGAGCCTGCGGGTCCAACTCCCTGCTGGCATTGACGTAGCTCTGCGGCCTCGGACGAAGACCAGCTTAGGAAAAAGCGATTGCCAGGCGAAGGCTCAGCGCAGAGCTCCTCAAGACTTCCCATCGGCAAAGGCTTTGGCAAGCCAGCGACACGAATGCGTTGACGGACCTCCCAGCTCAGGGGCGAAGGCTCCAAGTACCAAAAGCTTACCACGGAAGAACTTCAACACCGGCCTCCTCCCGGAGGTCCACTGCAAAGTCTGTAAAAGGCCCGAAACTCAGCGTCAGCACTCGAATGGCAAGCCGGCATCAGACTGAAGCCGGAAGTCATCGATCAGATCTAGAATCGAAGTCCTACACCACACACCCATACGGCAATCACCGAAGTCCCCACAACTCTCAACATCGCAACCGCAAAGCTTACTGGCCCTAAACCAAACCCAAGACAAGGACATGGCTCTGTGACGGTTTGGGATCCCCGACTGAGCTCGGGCTTCCAGCTGTGCCCGAGCTTCACGGCCCTCGGACCTGGCACAGACGTGGCACAGAAGCACCCGTTTCTGCCGTCTGCTTCGTAGCCGTCGCAGGACTGCTACTGCTACCACTGCTCTTCCTGGCGCTGCTACTACCGCCACTACTGACACTACGACTGCTACTGCTACTGCTGCCTCAGTGCCCGGGCTGCAAACTGAATCCTGCCGCTTGGTCCACTTGGGTCGCTGAGTGCTGCTGTGACTTGGACAAGTGACCGTGGTCAATTTGTCCACTTGGTGCATTGGGTGCACTTGCCAAGCCCTCAAGCTTAAACCCTAAACTTAAACCCTAAACCGTGGACCCAAAACCACTAACACTTAAGCCCTAAACCCTAAACCCTTAAACCACAGACCAAGCTTGAGTGAACAAATTGAGCATGGTAACTTGCCCAAGTCGTAGCGCAATCTGACCAAGTGACCCAAGTGGCATGTACCGATTAGCGGTTCTCGAATTCTCGAACAATGTACTACCACCACCACTGCCAGTTCCACTTCTACTACTTCCGCTACTTCTTCTACTTCCACTACTTCTCCGACCACTACTCCTTCCACTACTTCTACTACTTCCTCTTCTGCTACCCCCTCTACTGCCACCCCTACTCCTACTCCTACACCTCTACTCCTACTACTACATCTCAACTCCTACTCCTACTCCTGCTCCTGCTACTAGCACTACCGCGACCACTACCAATACTACTACGCCAACCACCACCACTATGGCTACCACCGCCGCTACTACCACTACAACTACCACCACCACTACTGGCAGAGGTAGTGGCAGTGGCAGTGGTAGCAGCAGCAGTAACATAAACAGCAGCCAATGGCTTTCCACTTCAGCTCCTTGCCGGTGGATTTGCAGTCTAGAAATCCGTCCTTCCGTGGAAAACGGAGCTGGTTTTTTAAAAAAATGAGAAATTTGCGGTTGTTTTTACCTCCGGTAGTTGCCCAGAATTGTCGGGAAGCAGGGCAGAACCAGGATTACAGTACCACTCGAGAGCAGCGAGCCTTGTCTGCACCGGGCGCGAATTGTTCAGAAAACTTCGTGGTGACTTCAAAGCCCGATTTTAACAGAGGGGGGACTCCGCAGATCGACTCCTAAAACCAGTCGACAGTCCGCCCGGAGACCTAGTTTTGGGAACATGCGCAAGAACACGCTAGTGATGCTAGGACTCATTGCCGACAGGACCTCGATTCTTTCAGGAACGTGCAGGAGGTAGCAAGATTGGCCCAGTGGATCGCCCGGCCAACTACAAATAGCCGGCTTTGCGACACATCTGCTGGGATGCCGTCTGCGGCCGCCACGCAGCCAACCATTGCTGCCAGCCTTGCTCAAATACCCGGGACGCATGTTGTGATCGCTTTTAGGGCATAACAACTTCGTTTTCTTGCTGAACACGCGATCTTTGTCCGGGCGTCCAGCTCGGGAATCGAGAGGCCACCTACGGGCCTCGACAGCAAGACAAGCACAAGAGCCCCTCAGGTTTCTGAGGAACGTCGTCGTGACCCCATGTAGTCAGACTCTCAGAGCCGTAAGCTGCCGGCGCATGCCTCGGGAGACCTTGGCTGCTCGTGTCTTCTAGGAGGTCCAACAAGTTCGCGGCCTTCACCTCCAGCAGACTCGACGAAGAGCCCAAAGACAACGACAAGCCTACACTGCCTCAACTCCGGCCAGTTCACCGTAAACATCCGAGAGCACCTGCCAGGACTCTGACTGGACGACTCCATGGACACGCTCTCTCGCTAACACGACTGACATGACTGCGACTTGCATGGCATGGGGCACAGGAAAATTCCAAGCTTCACACGTATAGCTGTAGCCTAGTCTTCCATGGAATACTGAAAACCCCCAGCATCTATCTTCCCAAAGTCAACATCACCCAATCGGCTCTGCACCAAGCAGAAGCCAAGGTGCGCCTGGCTCAAACGGGCCTCGGGGAGGCGGAGGCTGTACTTCGAGGATTCGGCCATCGGCCGGGTGCCTCAATCAGAAGGGAATACACCAAAGCAACAGAACATGCTAGAAAATGGCTCTGCGCAATCCCCAAAATAGGATCCTGTCTTGCAGAAATAAGAAAGCTGCATGACATGCCGGGCCTGAAAATGGTTCAAAAGGGCCCTAGCACTGTCTCTGAAGCAGCAGCAGCAGCTGCTGCTGCTGCTCCTGCTA